CTTTCTTTCTTGTCTGTGTCTCGCGTGTTTAGTGGCTGACGCTTCGAGCGCTCCTGTCATCCGGGATGCTCAACGCTGGAGATTTCTGAAATGAAAGAAACGCAGCAGCGCGTTGAGATCCGTACTCGGGTGTATTTTTTTTTTTTTTTTTTAGATCCTATTGGATACCTACAACCCTTTCGATTATGTCCTCCGCGGCGTTCACTTTGGCAGGCCTAGCTGGAATTCCTCGCGTCGGCTCTCGATCCATCTTATGAATCATCTTATAGACACTCGAGTTCATTAAGTGATCGTAGTTCGGTAGATTCGTCTTCTCGTACTTCTTGAAGTTTACACTGCGTTCACAGATCGCAAACATTAACATAACAGCTCGCCCCGGTTAGGACAGACTACTTTGAAAGCTATTAAATCATTGCTGATTTAATAGAAATGCAGATTCGTGAAAGATGGATGAAAAATCAAGCTTACCCCAGGGCTCTGCCTCGAATTACTTCCGCCTGGGAAGATAAAACCTCGGCAATCATTTCGTCATTGAAGAAATCATTCGGACACCTCCATCTGCGGCCGAGCGTAAGTTCGACCTGTTTAGCCTGGGGCCAGAGATCTTGCGAACGTTTCCTCTCGGCGCGTTGCTTTACTCTCTGCTGCAAACGTATGGAGAAACGTTATTCCACGGCGGCCGTTTGAATCAATACTTCATCACGATCCAGGAATGCTTTTGACACGAGGTTACGGAGGAATCTGCGTGCTTCCCGTTCGAACGTTTAGTGGAATACACGTGACACGGATGACTTCATCTTCGCGAAGATTTAAGGATGCAATTAGGGAGACAAGTTGGTGTTTCGAAAGTCACGTTATTAAACTTTTGGTTCGTGTTGTTCTCGGAATAATTAAAAAAAAAAAAAAAAAAAAAAAGAAATGAAGAAAAAAAGGAAAAGGGAGCACATTTTTGGTGATTGAAGAACGGTGAATGTTCTCCGGCGAGTACATCGACGTGATTAAGATAAAGTACAGGTTTTAGGATGCTGGAAGAGTGTACTAGACAGAGTATAAGAACAACAGTTACTGCACATTCAACTTTACATTCACGTATCAGTCTCTAGAATACCTGCAACTCCTGAATAACTTGATCTTTTGCCGATAGATTTGGATCTGGTTCGAAACTGCCTACAATACATATATCGCTTCGTTTCCGTTATCTTTCTTTCACGATATTACTCCTTTGATGATCGTTTTAATGTCAGAGCAGAATAAGAAAGTTCCCTGAATATTTACCATAGGATGGTGCGGGGCTTGGCGATTTCAAAACCTTCGTCTCGTATGAAACGACGAATTTCTTTACTCTGCTTCCCTCCTCGCTCTTCACGGACAAGGTACCTTCCAGTTCCTGCGTCTCGGTCTCTTCCTCGTCTTCCTCGCTGGCTTGGACGATTCGATGCTCGTCCGAATAAGCCGAGTACGAGATATCCTCCGTGTATTCCGTCACATCGAGTTCCTCCGTTTCTTCCAGTTCCTCGTGTTCGTCGCGTTCCTCTTCCACATCTTCTGCCTCTTCTGCCTCGACCCCTGGATCTGAAAAATCCGCGAAACAGTCGCGTCACAGTTGCTCCAGAATGATAAAAAACGCCGAAAGGAAACGGCTAGAGCTGAACAAATCGAAGACAGTCTGGCTCGTTTCGCAACGGAACGTCGCGTCGCGCTCGCAACCGGACGCGGTTGACGCTTGGCACCGCTTCAAAAGTCGACCGAACGCATGAAATTTGAAAATATGCACGGTGCGTAGTGCTGGCACGAGATACCGATCGAGGTTCATCCGCTTGGAAATGTAATCTTAGCGAGCGAGCTCACCTTGCTGCTCCTCGTCGTTGCCGGTGGCGCCGTTTTGCACACCGCTCAGCTCCATGATCTTCTGCAGTTGCTCCGAGACAATTCTCAGGTGATTCTCGATCTCGCTCGGTAGCTGCTTCAACGCCATCAACTGTCGTTGAACGTTCTCCAGCTGTTTCTCCAGGTTGATCTCCGTGCTGACCAGCTCTTTGATCTTCTCTTTGTCGACTGCCGCCGCCACGTTCGCCATCTCTTTCTCGATCTCGTTCAGAATAGACTCCTGTGCCGTTTGCTCCTGACGCGTCTCCTCCCTGCGGACACTCTCCTCGGTCTCCTCGAGGTTCTCCTCCTTGCACGGTGTTGTTCCTTCCGGTTGTTGCTGCTCGGTTTCGCTCTCCTCCTGCTTCGATTCGGCTTTCGACTCGGGACGCGACTCGGGCTCGCGTTCTTGATCCGATCTACAGCTGCCTGGCTCCGGTGTCGCCGATGGTGTCGCCTAAATTCAGACAACAGGCTACAGAACACAGGCATCGTGGGTGGTGAACGGTGAACGTTCGTCTAGTCTGTCGTGCAGAGACGTGGGACCGAAATGCACACGGAACGTCGCTTTTTTCCATCTCGCGTCGCTAATTTACATCTCGTCTCACTTGATCACACGCGAATGGTCTTCTTTTCAATCCTTAATGGTGGTCTTTCAATTTTATTTTACAATAGCTGGAGCTTAATTTATTGATTCGACTCGACACGAAAGAGAAGTAAAAAAACTTTTGCTTTGCAACATTGAGAATGAGATAGCAAAGGATTACGCAAACGGATTCAAATAACAGCGTCAATGCATATTAAATTTAAAATTAGACGGGATTGCGACGGCACCGATGGTCCACTTAAGTATCAGTTGCGTATGCACTTCTAATCGTTCGTCATCGTTACGAGTACCTTACGTTCGATACGATGAATTAGTACTCGTTCCGTTTCCGGAAAACAGATGGGATTTTGGGTTCGTCCCTGACGCAACGCAGCGTCCTAGCTGCTTCATTTCGATATTAAGGGTTATCGAGAATTTTAGCATTTCAGGTGGCATCCATATACATATGTTTATATATGTATACGCATTTTATTTCGAATGTACTTTTCTCTCGACAATCCATCGTGAGTACATTTGGCATTAATTATACTACATGCATCGATCTGCGCGTGTATGGTAACGCGAGATTCCAGAAGTTCTCGTTTTTATACTCTACATTCGTTAGGCTAGATACCAATGAATCGGCGTGCGAATGCGATCATTTTTTAACTTTTTTTTTTTTAAATATATATATATATAGATTACGTTACATATACTTGCAGGGCCGTGCATTTTCACTGTTATCTTAAACATACGTTGCTGTTTTTAGTCAAGTGGTTAAGTAGAACAGATAATGTTTAAGAGACAGACTGTTACTTTTGTCGTGAAAGATTAGTTCGTGCTTTTCCTTTTTTTTTTTCTTTTTTTTTTAATTAATTAATTGTCGTTCACTGGATGCACGGCCCCAAGAACAAGTACAATTGCTACCTCTGGTTACGAGAAAATGGTTACATTGGACAGAATGATACAACACACACTCTACGAACGATGAACACTTTTTTCATTTCTTTTTTTTTTTTTTTTTTTTTTTTTTTTTTGATTTTGTTTTTATACGTTTACAGATGGCCCATGATGATCTAGCGTCTGTTAGGATGTCCTAGAACAAGTGATGTCGTTTTAAATCTAAACATAAATAAATCTAAACGTAATCATTAGTAGTACCGCCACGAGCGAATTTATTTAAGTAAACGTCGTGTTGGACTTCGTTCTTGACACTTGAGTGTCACTACTTGTACATGTACAACAAGATGACCGAGGTACAAGGTACAAACGCATACGTTACTAATCTAGTGAAATCGACGCCTATGCGATTCGTCAAACCTTCGTAGAGAATGGTCGGCACGAAAGATAGCCTACGACTGTAGTCACGGTCGTTGTCTTGCATCGCCTTTTTATCGTTAATCGGCTGATCTGTCGATTTATCCCTGATAAATTTCATAGGAAGCCAATTGAAGAGACTTCCCAACGTGTTGGTGAGATTCGAAGCAGAGATGCTACCTCTAGATGATCTTGAGAGCCGTCTACTGCCGCGGTGAAAAACCTCGGTTGAGATAAAGTCTTTGGAGGAACGGATCAAATTGAAGAAGACATCGTCTTCCTTCGTCGACGATACAGACGCGTCGGTTTGGCGCGAGTTCAAGGACGAGCAGCCTGGAATAACGACGGAAGAATCGGAGATACCTTGAAGAACCTGGCAACGAATGTAATTTATGATTAAACCGAGTGTCTCGAGATGCTTCTTAAAGACACGCTCGACGTAACGAGTCCGAGGGAGCAATTTCTTTCTCGACGAGGATACGCTCGAGCGTGCCGAGAAACGATCGCGAAGATCCTGTAAATCTAAGAGCGCGTTTTTCAACGTCTCTAAATAACGGCCCTTCGTCTTGACCATTGTCGAGCTTCTCCTCCTGCCTTCCCTGCGAACGTCTCTCGAAGATACCACGTCTTTGATATAGTTGATCAAGCGAGTAAGATTACGCCAAAGAATACGCCGAATGTAATGACCTTTAAAGTACAAACGCTTGTCAATTCGCGACTTCGATTTCATAGAATTCACGATATCGGAACGAAAGCGAACCGCAACGAATTCTACGCTTCGAACGATTATTTTCTCCGCGTAACGAGTTCTCCTCAATGAGATTTCTCTGTTCGATGACAGACTGTCGTAGAACTTGCTCGAGGAAAAGCTATCGAGTTTCTCGAACAATCCGATCATCCGCCTCATCCAATTATCCTCCCGTTTCAAGTACGTCTCGAGGTAACGACCTTTGGTCCTGGATTTCGAAGATTTCTCGATGCTACAGCGACGTAGAAATTGTTGAAACTGCTCGGTGCTGCTTCCCTGGAATCGTTCCCTGAACGAGGGTTTTACTTTAATCGCTTTGTTAATGTCGTCGTAGCTTCTCCTCCCGAACAAACACTTTCGGAGGTAATGACCCCTTGTATAGAAGCTCTTGAACTTGCGTTTGTTCAGCGCACGAAGCGCTAACGCTACGCTCTCCCTGTGTCTCGGCAACTGTACCGTTGAAACATTCGATTCCGAGTTCGTGCAAGTTTCAGGCTCGACATCGAGCGAAGTCTGACTCTGGCGAGTCTCGATCGGAGGTTCGAGACATGAGGAGGACACCACGGGACACGTGATGTCGGTCGGTTCGAATGCTTGTTCCGAACATAAACTATCATCGAGCGGCATTGACGAAACGATCGACGAATCGCTTTCCTCGATTTTCGTCTCGGTTTCAATATTTTCCATGTTTACCTCGGGAGTAAGCGGTTCCGGAGTACTAGCGCCCTCAGGTTTCAGCAGACCCTTCGCTAGCAGTCGGTCGGTCACGCTCCTCTTTTTTTGTTTCTTTATCACGACTCTGTACGACTCGACTTCTGTGCCCTGTTGTTCCTCTTGTTTCTTATGGGGCGCCGGTACTGGTCTCTGCGGTTTTTGCAGAAACACCGAGGTACGTCTCAACTGTTCGACCAGAGGCGGTTCAGCTGTGGCGATGTTCTGCAGTTCTTCGATCACCTTCGATTGTTTCAGAACACTGGCACGGGGCCTGAGTTTCTTGAAGTTCACTCTGAAACGCGTGGACTATGACTATGAAGGACAAGTTCTGATCGTAAGAAGAATGGAAGGAACATAGAGTAACCAAGTGCGAATACCCCAAAAGGCCTTTGTCGGACAAGAGTTCTTCTTCTTCGAGAATCAATTGCGCAATCTCGTCGTCCGTAAGATTTTGATTCGGCACGATCTCACTGTTGGCGTCCTTCGGCTTGTCCGGGAGCGGTTCCACTTCTGGCTTGACCTCCTCTTCGGCCGGCTTTACATCGCACGTCGTTTCCTCGTGCCGCTCGATCACGGTTTCCTCTTTCAGTATTTGCTCTGGGAAGACAGGTGGCAAATCTGCGAGCTAGCAAACATTCTTATACAGATGCTGACAGGAATGAATAGGAAAAACTGATGTCTCCAAGTAACACTAGAATTGTTAGCTGACTTGAGAGATGCGTACCGGAATTTTATAGGGAACGATATTCTCTTCGGACAGCGCCTCCAAAGCCTTCAGTGGATCTTCTTCTCTGTGTAACACAATTGCGGCTTAATTAATGGTGTTTCCAACTGGAATTTCTCGATCGATCTCATACGGTGGTCAGTACACTGTTCGACGAGAAACGATCTTCTAGGTGAATGGAATTGGAACGAAGAACAAATTTAACTGCTTTTCGAAGTCTGCTCAGTGCGAGCCGGTTCACGCGCAAAAGGGTAATGAGGGATCGTGGAACAAATGGTGTGCGGTGTAAATGCCAGCAATAAAATCGCCAACCAATGATAAACAGATTTCATTCTGGGTCACCTATTTATAAGTGTTGCAATTCGTTACCACACGTTGCCCGTACGCCGGGATATTCTAGCCCCGACGTGTTATAATAATGCGCACGAAAGTGTACAGCAACATCTCGATATTTCAGTCATTTTTCTCAATTTTTTCTTTTTTTTTTTCTTCGTTCAAATATTACCGACAATATTCATCTGATAAAGTGCCACGAAATGCAAATTCCAGTAGCATCTATCGAAGGATGCCTGTCATGAATCATGCGATACTCGAAATAAAGTTGCAGTTAAAAGTAGTTCAAGTTAAGCTTGCCCTCCAAGCGGGTCAATTCAGTGCAACGATACAGCGTGTCGTTGACATTGATGTCGAATTGTTTTCATAGCTAGCTCGCAGATCTACTTCCGATAGAAATAAAAATATAAAAGAATAAAAGCACTCCTCTCGAGGAGATAGATTTCCCTTATTTGCGCCTTAGATCTAAGTATTTACCTCTGTACACCGAGAACAAAATTATTTCCTGCTCGCATTAGTTCTTCGTGTGCCTGACCGTGAGTCAGGTTACTGATGGGTTGATCATTTAATCTCACGACCACATCGCCAACCTTTAAACCCATGCATTCTGCCAGGCTTCCCTCTGTGACCTAAGAAATGTTCTTAAATCGATTTCCATTTTCAGTCAATTTATTATTTTACTCAAAATAATAAATGTGAAAACATATGCTGAAATTTTATAAGATGAGAATCATGATTTATTATTATATTAAATATTATTATAAATAATAGTATATATTATTAATCATGTTTCTGTATATAGTAAATGCAGTTGCATTTACAGTTACATTTTTCACTTGCAGAATTCGACAGAATCGATAATGTAGGAATTTCTACATATTCTACCTTACCGGTATTTCTGAGACTGTACTCCTGCAAGTATGCAACCCGTTCTACTCTCCTGCATTCGGTTACACTAATGTTTAATGAGCCATATCTAGTAATTAATTCATAAGCTATTTGATTTGTAATTTATTTTTTACATGCATTCACGGCAATATATTTAAATAGTGGAAAAATAATGTACGATAAATAAGAGAAAGTACGTACTCTGATGACAGTCAATGGCTGTGGAAAATCGCTTCCACCTGCCAATCGAAATCCCCATGGTGTGTTGTCGAATTTCGTGAATTTTATGCTGACAGCCATATCGTTCTACATCTGAAATTCATGTTTCCGCTATCACAACGACACGTAGAATACTTGTAATATGTCACTGACTTCGAAGAAATTAGCCTCGAAACCGATTTCCGTGTCGATTTAATCGATTATATAATATAAAAAGAAAAAATAGAATCGAAGCAATATGAACTTGAATTTTTTCCAGAATTATTTCATAATAAAGTTGATTCCATACTAAATGTTGTACCAAATTGAAATTTCAAAGGATTTCGAGAAAGGATAACTTACGATTACAAATTTGCAAATGTTATCAGCTCGCCATGGTAAATTTAAAAAAATATAATTTTTTGGATTAATATCGTATTGACATTGACATTCTCGAACTACGAAAAACAATGCCACAATGAACAAAATGTGTTAAAACGATTTATATAGACTGAATACGAGACATGTAAGTTTTTCTAAACTTCACTCCCGTTACGTAATGCTGATGTAAAAAAAAAACAGGAAACAAAAGATCGATATTTTTAACGTCTGCAGCACTACTGTGGTATCCCGGATCGATTTCCGAATATCGGCGGCAATTCGAG